GTGTGTGTGTCTGTGGGTGTGTGTGTCTGTGGGTGTGTGTGTGTCTGTGTGCGTGGTTGTGTGGGGGTGTGTCTGTGTGTGTCTGTGGGTGTGTGTCTGTGTGTGTGTATGGGGAGCGGCAGTGTAGCGGTTAGCGCTACGCTGCGCTATGAACCTGGCGACCCGGGTTCGATTCCCGCTCACGGCCAACACCACCAGTGACGATTATCTGAACCGGTCCCGGGCCTTCCCTAGGTCGACTCAGCCTCAAATGAGTACCTGGTGCAGTGTTGGTGTCTAGTAGTCAACACCGCCACTAGGGAGGTGGCAGCCACGCTGGGTGGTGATGGTGGTGGTGATGGTGGTGATGGTGGTCATGGTGGTGGTGGTCATGGTGGTGGTGATGGTGGTCATGGTGGTGGTCATGGTGGTGGTGATGGTGGTCATGGTGGTGGTGATGGTGGTCATGGTGGTGGTGGTCATGGTGGTGGTGATGGTGGTCATGGTGGTGGTCATGGTGGTGGTGATGGTGGTCATGGTGGTGGTGATGGTGGTCATGGTGGTGGTGGTTATGGTGGTGGTGGTCATGATGGTGGTGGTCATGGTGGTGGTGGTGATGATGGTGGTGATGGTCGTGATGGTGGTGATGATGGTGATGATGGTGGTGATGGTGATGATGGTGATGATGGTGGTGATGGTGATGATGGTGGTGATGATGGTGGTGATGGTGGTGATGGTGACCACCCACTCCCTCTGCGTGATACCAGATGAGTCAGATACCAGATGATGAGTCAGATACCAGATGATGAGTCAGATACCAGATGATGAGACAGATACCAGATGATGAGTCAGGTACCAGATGATGAGTCAGGTACCAGATGATGAGTCAGGTACCAGATGGTGAGTCGTGTACCAGATGATGAGTCTGATACCAGATGATGAGTTAGATACCAGATGATGAGTCGTGTACCAGATGATGAGTCAGGTACCAGATGATGAGTCTGATACCAGATGGGACTGATACCAGATGAGTCGTGTAACAGATGATGAGTCAGATACCAGATGGTGAGTCGTGTACCAGATGATGAGTCTGATAGCAGATGGGACTGATACCAGATGAGTCGTGTAACAGATGATGAGTCAGATACCAGATGATGAGTCAGATACCAGATGATGAGTCGTGTACCAGATGATGAGTCTGATACCAGATGGGACTGATACCAGATGAGTCATGTAACAGATGATGAGTCAGATACCAGATGATGAGTCAGATACCAGATGATGAGTCGTGTACCAGATGATGAGTCTGATACCAGATGGGACTGATACCAGATGAGTCGTGTACCAGATGAGTCTGATACCAGATGAGTCGTGTAACAGATGATGAGCCAGATACCAGATGGGACTGATACCAGATGAGTCGTGTACCAGATGATGAGTCTGATACCAGATGAGTCGTGTAACAGATGATGAGTCAGATACCAGATGATGAGTCAGATACCAGATGATGAGTCAGATACCAGATGATGAGTCAGATACCACACGGGTCAGGTACCAGATGATGAGTCAGGTACCAGATGATGAGTCAGATATCAGATGATGAGTCAGATACCAGATGATGAGTCTGATACCAGATGATGAGTCGTGTACCAGATGATGAGTCAGATACCAGATGATGAGTCAGATACCAGATGGGACAGATACCAGATGAGTCGTGTAACAGATGATGAGTCAGATACCAGATGATGAGTCAGATACCAGATGATGAGTCAGATACCAGATGATGAGTCGTGTACCAGATGATGAGTCAGATACCAGATGATGAGTCGTGTACCAGATGATGAGTCTGATACCAGATGGGACTGATACCAGATGAGTCGTGTAACAGATGATGAGTAGTAGTAGGAGGGGTCACACGGCTTGGGTAACAACGTTAGTGCCCGGCTGGCTACAGCGGCAGCGGTGGAGTTTACAAAGCGGTGGCACCGAATCACCGGGCTCAGAGGTCATCGCCGGCATCGTCATCGTCGATATCGATCATCGGCAGGTAGCGTTGAGATCATCGTCATCGGCAGGTACCACTGAGATCATCGGCAGGTAGCGTTGAGATCATCGTCATCGGCAGGTAGCGTTGAGATCATCGTCATCGGCAGGTAGCGTTGAGATCATCGTCATCGGCAGGTACCGTTGAGATCATCGTCATCGGCAGGTAGCGTTGAGATCATCGTCATCGGCAGGTACCGTTGAGATCATCGGCAGCTACCGTAGAGATCATCGTCATCGGCAGGTAGCGTTGAGATCATCGTCATCGGTAGGTACCGTTGAGATCATCGGCAGGTACCGTTGAGATCATCGTCATCGGCAGGTACCGCTGAGATCATCGTCATCGGCAGGTACCGCTGAGATCGTCATCGGCAGGTACCGCTGAGATCATCGTCATCGGCAGGTACCGTTGAGATCATCGTCATCGGCAGGTACCGTTGAGATCATCGTCATCGGCAGGTACCGTTGAGATCATCGTCATCGGCAGGTACCACTGAGATCATCGTCATCGGCAGGTACCGCTGAGATCGTCATCGGCAGGTAGCGTTGAGATCATCGTCATCGGCAGGTACCGTTGAGATCATCGTCATCGGCAGGTACCGCTGAGATCATCGTCATCGGCAGGTACCGCTGAGATCGTCATCGGCAGGTACCGTTGAGATCATCGTCATCGGCAGGTACCGTTGAGATCATCGTCATCGGCAGGTACCGTTGAGATCATCGTCATCGGCAGGTACCACTGAGATCATCGTCATCGGCAGGTACCGCTGAGATCGTCATCGGCAGGTACCGTTGAGATCATCGTCATCGGCAGGTACCGTTGAGATCATCGTCATCGGCAGGTACCGTTGAGATCATCGTCATCGGCAGGTACCGTTGAGATCATCGTCATCGGCAGGTAGCGTTGAGATCATCGTCATCGGCAGGTACCGTTGAGATCATCGTCAGGTACCACTGAGATCATCATCATCATCGGCAGGTACCACTGAGATCATCGTCAGGAACCGTTGAGATCATCGTCGTCATCGCTAGGTACCACTGAGATCATCATCGTCAGGTACCACTGAGATCATCATCGTCAGGTACCACTGAGATCATCATCGTCAGGTACCACTGAGATCATCATCGTCAGGTACCACTGAGATCATCATCGTCAGGTACCACTGAGATCATCATCGTCAGGTACCACTGAGATCATCATCGTCAGGTACTGTTGAGATCATCATCGTCAGGTACTGTTGAGATCATCGTCAACGCATCTCTAATGAACTCAACAGGCGGATTTTTGAGAGAGTGGAGAGAGACAACCGGATTGGTCAACAGCCATGGGGGGGTGGGGGCCGTGGGGGGGGAGGGTGGGGGCCGTGGGGGGGTGTGGGTGGGGGGTGTGGGGTGTGGGTGGGGAACGTGGGGGGGGGGGGGTGTATGGGGGGATGTGGGTGGGGGGGGATGTGGGTGGGGCCGTGGGGGGGGGGATGTGGGGGGGGCGTGGGGAGGGGCCATGGGTGGGGGCCGTCGGGGGTGTGGGGGGGATGTGGGGGGGGGGGGGGGTGTGTGGGGGGGGGGGCCGTGCCAGCAGATGCTGCTGAAGCCAGGGAGCGGGGAGGGGGTTCCGAACCGACGGACAAACCATGAAACGGCTCCCGACACGAGGCCGTCACGATCATGAAGGACGCTGCCTTCGATAATCACTGCCGCGGGGGGGGGGGGGGGGGCTGGGGGGGGCTGGGGGGGGGGGGGCTGGGGGGGGGGGGCCTGGGGGGGGGGGCTGGGGGGGGGGGGAGGGGCGCGGCAATTACGGCGGTGGGGGGGGCGGACACCAAGATACGGGGGGGGGAGGGGGAGTCACGGGGTGGGGGAGGAGTCATGGGGTGGGGGAGGAGTCACGGGGTGGTGGGGAGGAGTCACGGGGTGGGGGGAGGAGTCACGGGGTGGGGGAGGAGTCACGGGGTGGGGGGAAGAGTCACGGGGGGGGAGTCACGTGGGTGGGGGGGTGGGACACGGGGGGGAGGAGTCACGTGGGTGGAGGAGTCACGGGGTGGAGGAGTCACGGGGTGGGGGAGGAGTCACGGGGTGGGGGAGGAGTCACGGGGTGGGGGAGGAGGTCACGTGGGTGGGGGGGGGAGTCACGGGGTGGGGGGAGGAGTCACGGGGTGGGGGGGGGGGAGTCACGTGGGGGAGGAGTCACGGGGTGCGGGGGGAGTCACGGGGTGGGGGGGGGAGTCACGTGGGGGAGGAGTCACGGGGTGCGGGGGGAGTCACGGGGTGGGGGGGGGAGTCACGGGGGGGAGGAGTCATGGGGTGGGGGAGGAGTCACGGGGTAGGGGAGGAGTCACGTGGTGGGGGGGAGGAGTCACGGGGTGGGGGAGGAGTCACGGGGTGGGGGGAGGAGTCACGGGGTGGGGGAGGAGTCACGGGGTGGGGGAGGAGTCACGGGGTGGGGGGAGGAGTCATGGGGTGGGGGAGGAGTCATGGGGTGGGGGGAGGAGTCATGGGGTGGGGGGAGGAGTCACGTGGGGGAGGAGTCACGGGGTGGGGGAGGAGTCACGGGGTGGGGGGAGGAGTCATGGGGTGGGGGGAGGAGTCACGGGGTGGGGGGGGGGAGTCACGTGGGGGAGGAGTCACGGGGTGGGGGGGGGGAGTCACGTGAGTGGGGGGGGGGAGTCACGTGGGTGGGGGAGGAAGTCACGTGGGTGGGGGGGGAGTCACGTGGGTGGGGGGGGGGGGAGTCACGTGGGTGGGGAGGAGTCACGTGGGTGGGGGGGGGGAGTCACGTGGGTGGGGGGGGGGAGTCACGTGGGTGGGGGGGGGGTCACGTGAGTGGGGGGGGGGGTCACGTGAGTGGGGGGGGGGAGTCACGTGGGGTGGGGGGGGAGGAGTCACGTGGGTGGGGGGGGGGAGTCACGTGGGTGGGGGGGGGAGTCACGTGGGTGGGGGGGGGGAGTCACGTGGGTGGGTGGGGGGAGTCACGTGGGTGGGTGGGGGGGGGGTGAAGACCTCCCTCCTCTCCCCACCCCCTCCCCTCCCCCCTAGCTATCACCAAACAAGTCTAGGAGTGAGACGTCTCGCAGGCCGCTGGCGACGCCCTCCAGGGGTGGCGACGGCCAGGGCCAGCCGGCGTCTCAACTCAACCCCCCCCTCGCCCCCCTCGCCCCCCTCCCCCTCGCCCCCCTCGCCCCCTCCCCCCCGCCGGCCAGCTGCCGGATGTCGCCGAGGATGGAGGGGAGCGAGAGGGGGCCGGAGCCATAGAGTGCGTGGCGGAAGGGCGACTCCCACTGCGACGAGTAGCGGCTCAGCATGGACAGCTCCATCTGATGGGGTGGAGGGGAGGTGAGAGAGAGAAGGGGGTAGGGGGAGGGTCTCTGTGGGTGTCTGTGGGTGTCTGTGTGGGTCTCTGTGTGGTGAGTCTGTGGGTCTCTGTGTGGTGAGTCTGTGGGTCTCTGTGGGTGTCTGTGGGTGTCTGTGTGGGTCTCTGTGGGTGTCTGTGTGGTGTGTCTGTGGGTCTCTGTGTGGTGAGTCTGTGGTCTGTGGGTCTCTGTGTGGTGAGTCTGTGGGTCTCTGTGTGGTGTCTGTGGGTCTCTGTGTGGTGAGTCTGTGGGTCTCTGTGTGGTGAGTCTCTGGGTCTCTGTGTGGTGAGCCTGTGAGTGTCTGTGTGGTGTGTCTGTGGGTCTCTGTGTGGTGAGTCTGTGGGTCTCTGTGTGGTGAGTCTGTGAGTCTCTGTGGGGTGAGTCTCTGTGAGTGTCTGTGGGTCTCTGTGGGTCTCTGTGGGTGTCTGTGAGTCTCTGTGGGTGTCTGTGGGTGTCTGTGGGTGTCTGTGGGTGTCTGTGGGTCTCTGTAGGTCTCTGTGGGTGTCTGTGAGTCTCTGTAGGTCTCTGTGGGTGTCTGTGAGTCTCTGTGGGTCTCTGTGAGTCTCTGTACGTCTCTGTGAGTCTCTGTGGGTCTCTGTGAGTCTGTGTGGGTCTCTGTAAGTCTCTGCGGGTCTCTGTGAGTCTCTGTGAGTCTCTGTGGGTCTCTGTGAGTCTCTGTGGGTCTCTGTGAGTCTCTGTGGGTCTCTGTGAGTCTCTGTGAGTCTCTGTGAGTCTCTGTGAGTCTCACCTGAAGCAGGCGGTCGTTGATGAGTTTGTTCTCAGACTCGCTGTGCCAGTCTGCACGCTGTGGGTCTCTGTGAGTCTCTGTACGTCTCTGTGAGTCTCTGTGGGTCTCTGTGAGTCTGTGTGGGTCTCTGTGAGTCTCTGCGGGTCTCTGAGAGTCTCTGCGAGTCTCTGTGGGTCTCTGTGAGTCTCTGTGGGTCTCTGTGAGTCTCTGCGGGTCTCTGTGAGTCTCTGTGAGTCTCTGTGGGTCTCTGTGAGTCTCTGTGGGTCTCTGTGAGTCTCTGTGGGTCTCTGTGAGTCTCTGTGAGTCTCTGAGTCTCACCTGAAGCAGGCGGTCGTTGATGAGTTTGTTCTCAGACTCGCTGTGCCAGTCTGCACGCTGTGGGTCTCTGTGAGTCTCTGTACGTCTCTGTGAGTCTCTGTGGGTCTCTGTGAGTCTGTGTGGGTCTCTGTGAGTCTCTGCGGGTCTCTGAGAGTCTCTGTGAGTCTCTGTGGGTCTCTGTGAGTCTCTGTGGGTCTCTGTGAGTCTCTGTGGGTCTCTGTGAGTCTCTGTGGGTCTCTGTGAGTCTCTGTGGGTCTCTGTGAGTCTCTGTGGGTGTCTGTGAGTCTCTGTAGGTCTCTGTGAGTCTCACCTGAAGCAGGCGGTCGTTGATGAGTTTGTTCTCAGACTCGCTGTGCCAGTCTGCACGCTGTGGGTCTCTGTGAGTCTCTGTACGTCTCTGTGAGTCTCTGTGGGTCTCTGTGAGTCTGTGTGGGTCTCTGTGAGTCTCTGCGGGTCTCTGAGAGTCTCTGCGAGTCTCTGTGGGTCTCTGTGAGTCTCTGTGGGTCTCTGTGAGTCTCTGTGGGTCTCTGTGAGTCTCTGTGAGTCTTTGTAGGTCTCTGTGGGTGTCTGTGAGTCTCTGTGGGTGTCTGTGAGTCTCTGTAGGTCTCTGTGAGTCTCACCTGAAGCAGGCGGTCGTTGATGAGTTTGTTCTCAGACTCGCTGTGCCAGTCTGCACGCTGTGGGTCTCTGTGAGTCTCTGTACATCTCTGTGGGTCTCTGTGAGTCTCTGTGAGTCTCTGTGAGTCTCACCTGAAGCAGGCGGTCGTTGATGAGTTTGTTCTCAGACTCGCTGTGCCAGTCTGCACGCTGTGGGTCTCTGTGAGTCTCTGTACGTCTCTGTGAGTCTCTGTGGGTCTCTGTGAGTCTGTGTGGGTCTCTGTGAGTCTCTGCGGGTCTCTGAGAGTCTCTGTGAGTCTCTGTGGGTCTCTGTGAGTCTCTGTGGGTCTCTGTGAGTCTCTGTGGGTGTCTGTGAGTCTCTGTGGGTGTCTGTGGGTCTCTGTAGGTCTCTGTGGGTGTCTGTGAGTCTCTGTGGGTCTCTGTGAGTCTCTGTACGTCTCTGTGAGTCTCTGTGGGTCTCTGTGAGTCTGTGTGGGTCTCTGTAAGTCTCTGCGGGTCTCTGTGAGTCTCTGTGAGTCTCTGTGGGTCTCTGTGAGTCTCTGTGGGTCTCTGTGAGTCTCTGTGAGTCTCTGTGAGTCTCACCTGAAGCAGGCGGTCGTTGATGAGTTTGTTCTCAGACTCGCTGTGCCAGTCTGCACGCTGTGCCAGCTCAGACAGCCAGTACGATGATCGATCCATTTCACCCAGAGCCCGGGTCAGGCCCTCTAGTGGCACGTCAAGTTCCTGAACCACCACCGCCACCAACACCAACACCACATTACAACAACCACCACCACATTACAACATTACAACAACAACCACCACATTACAACAACCACCACCACCACCACATTACAACAACAACAACAACCACCACATTACAACAACCACCACCACCACCAACACTACCACCACATTACAACAACAACCACCACCACCACATTACAACAACAACCACCACATTACAACCACCACCACCACAACCATCACCACCACATTACAACCACCACCACCACAACCATCACCACCACCACATTACAACCACCACCACCACATTACAACCACCACCACCACCACCAGCACCACCACCACATTACAACCACCACCACCACCACAACCACCACCACATTACAACCACCACCACAACCACTACAACATTACAACAACAACCACCACAACCACCACCACATTACAAACACCACCACATTACAACCACCACCACATTACAACCATCACCACATTACAACCACCACCACCACCACAACCATCACCACCACCACCACATTACAACCACCACCACATTACAACCATCACCACATTACAACCACCACCACCACCACAACCATCACCACCACCACCACATTACAACCACCACCACATTACAACCATCACCACATTACAACCACCACCACATTACAACCACCACCACCACAACATTACAACCACCACCACAACCATCACCACCACCACATTACAACCACCACCACATTACAACCACAACCACCACCACATTACAACCACCACCACCACCACCACATTACAACCATCACCACATTACAACAACCACCACCACCACAACCACCACCACCACCACCACAACCACCACCACATTACAACCACCACCACCACCACATTACAACCATCACCATCACAACCACCACATTACAACCACCACCACCACATTACAACAACCACCACCACATTATAACAACAACCACCACCACATTACAATCACCACAACCACCACATTACAACCACCACCACATTACAACCACCACCACTGCAACCACAACCACCACATTACAACCACCACCACTACATTACAACAACCACCACCACATTACAACCACCTCCACCACCACCACCACTACATTACAAACACCAGCACTACCACCACCACATTACAACCACCACCACCACCACCACCACATTACAACCACCACCACCACCACTACTACATTACAACCACCACCACCACCACATTACAACCACCACCACTACAACCACAACTACCACATTACAACCACCACCACATTACAACAACCACCACCACATTACAATCACCACAACCACCACATTACAACAACCACCACATTACAAACATCACCACCACCACTACTACATTACAACCACCACCACCACCACCACCACATTACAACCACCACCACTACAACCACAACTACCACATTACAACCACCACCACCACTACATTACAACAACCACCACCACCACTACATTACAACAACCACCACCACATTACAACAACCACCACCACATTACAATCACCACAACCACCACATTACAACAACCACCACCACATTACAATCACCACAACCACCACATTACAACAACCACCACCACCACCACATTACAAACATCACCACCACCACTACTACATTACAACCACCACCACATTACAACCACCACCACTACAACCACCACCACCACTACATTACAACAACAACCACCACCACATTACAACCACCACCACATTACAACCACCACATTACAACCACCTCCACTACAACCACCACCACCACTACATTACAACAACAACCACCACCACATTACAACCACCACCACATTACAACCACCACATTACAACCATCACCACATTACAACCACCACCACTACAACCACAACCACCACATTACAACCACCAACACCACATTACAAACATCACCACCACATTACAAACACCACCACCACATTACAAACATCACCACCACATTACAATCACCACAACCACCACATTACAACAACCACCACCACATTACAATCACCACAACCACCACATTACAACAACCACCACCACCACCACATTACAAACATCACCACCACCACTACTACATTACAACCACCACCACATTACAACCACCACCACTACAACCACCACCACCACTACATTACAACAACAACCACCACCACATTACAACCACCACCACATTACAACCACCACATTACAACC